AAAAGTAAAGTAAGAAATGTATTGCATGCAAATTGTATTTCCATAGCATGCTTGGTGCATTTCCAACCTTTTGTCAAGAGAAAAATAATCAAGATGTCATCCTTGACTAACAAATGAAACAGGGCACAGATTGCTATCAGAGGAGGCAGCTCCTCTGACAGGTACAGGACTAGATTGATCTGACAGGTGTGTAAGATTTCTAGTTAGCAGAAACACTTAAGTCATCATTTTCAAGAGAATGGTGACATGAGAAATCACATTACCACATACCTAATTTGAGTGATAAGTTTTGTGTCTCCTGAGTTTAGAGATTTCACCTTCAACACCAGAATGCAGCTGATGCGGACTGATAGCTATATTCCACTGGGCTCTAAAGAGGCTGTGTTGCTAAAAGTAGGAAATTGCTCTTTTCTGTGATTAGACTCTGTCAAAGTGGGATTTTCCTGCTACTGGTTCAGAAATCACAGGCAGTGAGAAAACAGGGTTCAGATGTTCAGATGACAGTCCACTTCATACAGACAAGAGTGGTCAGATAAGAAAACTCTTATTCACAAGCTTAGCTGTAACCATTTCCAAAAAGCTCAGGGGAAAAGAGGTGAAAAACATTCTGGAGAAAGAGCAGGTCTCTCAAATGATTCATTAAGAAGCTTGCTCATACCTTGAAGAGCAGAGATACAACTGGGTGTCACACATTAGCAACTGAAAAAAACAGATAACTTTGAGCCAGCTGTGTATCATCATGATGGAAGAGGGACTTGCTATTTGACACCATTTTCTGTTCCTGCCTGCCATTTTGGCTTCCCCACTGAGATGAAATGAAAAATATCTCCTAACATCCATGCTAGTTTTTCAACTTCTTCCAGAGTCATCCCCACTCAATTCAGTTCCACTGAGATACTATTCTAACTAGCGATGAGGAAAATCCATGCTCTTAGTTATCCTAGCTGGGAAGACTGAAGCACAAGCTTCCTATGCAGATACTGCTGGACAGCAAATTTGTATGAACAATCATGAGAAGTGTATACATAGCCATGGCAGACTGCACATCACAAGTACTCTAAGTCTGACAAATGAAAGTCTCTGAAATAGAAAGAGCACTGGTAACACTGGAATGAATGTTGCAAATAAATTCACTATAGAAACCATTTCTAATTGAATTATTTTTGAATTATTAGTGAAAGAGGAAGAAGGGAATCAGAATATGACTGAGTAATATAATAAGAGACAGAGCTTTCCATCAGTCCCTTTCCTATCAAGAAGAATTACCGACCATGTAATAGAAAATTAAAAAAATTCAATTTACAGTACTTTTCCCCATAGTGAAATCAGAGGCAGGTGCTGGATATAACAGACAACGCTGGTCAAACTGTTTCTTTCTGCACAGCACTCAGTAAACAGAGTCGCCACTATTGAGTTCTAACCTCTTGTCATGCAGCAACATTGAGTCAACAATCCGCTCTCATGGCTTAATGCTTTTGATGTTTACTTTGTTCTTTCTATAGTTCAAAAGAAAGCACTAATGCACCAGTCCTCTTACCAAATACAATCTTAATCCCAGAATCCCGAGCCTTTTGCTGTTGGCCAGTTAAGTCTGTTAAGACGAAAGGATTTGATCAAGCTTTACATAACAACACAGAAGTTAAATCCAGCAAAGAGAGCTCTTTTTATCTGTACTGCTCAGACGGCTAAGAGATGAAAAAAAGAGAGGGAGAAAAAAAAGGTAATGAACTTGGCTATGTAAAACAAAATAAGGAATTCAATTATTTCTCTTATTGCCACTTTGTCTTTTCAGTGAGTCTTCTAAAGAACTTGGATTTATTCCCCAGTAAGGTCTCCAAGTGTGAAGGCTATAGCTTTCCTTTCACCCAGAAGAGCTGTGGCACCTGCTGTGCTTTTTTTTGCAAATCTGAGAAATGTTTCTTTTTCATCAGGAGTTTTCCTGATTTAAAAAATAAATAATTTAAATATATATATAAAGTAAGCATTGTACGTCAAAATACTATGAGAAGAGGAAAATTTTGTACTTGGGAAACAGATGGACAGCTTAGAGGAAAGGTGGGACATAAATCATTTCAAGTAATTAATACTATATAATACTTCTAACGTGAAATCTTTATTTTTTTCCCCTTTAAACTAATTGTCCCCATCCCTACTGTGTATTTATAAAGGCAGAACATAGTGCAGTGATGCTTGCCTGGTACATGGTAGAGCTGGGATCAAGGCTTTGTTTTTCCACGCGTGTCCTTTGTGAGAGTTGTCCAATTAACCATTTCTCAGTGTGTCACATCTCCCTGTTTCTGAAGCTAGTTACCTAATCTTTTGGAATACGTGAATGCATAGATACAAAACACATGTTACACCTGTACATATGTAAAGACTGTGATGTCAGCTACTTCATAAGAAATGAGGTGCCTCAGAAGTAAAAATGCAAAACTACTCTTGCTGGTATTAAGCTGGAAAGCCTAAAAATAAATCTAATAAAAACAGTCCTGCTGCTGACTAGTTTAAAAATACTGTTTATTGTATATTATGACTGCTAAGCATGACAATTCTTCACAACAACTAAGAAATAATTAGAAGTAAGCAAAAGAAAGAATAAGACAGAAAAAAATCAAGTTATTCACCTTGTTGGCACTTAATATCCTGTATTAAGTAGATTCTACTATAATTCTAAAAATTAATAAGCCACCCTTTACTACAGTTACAACAAGCAGAAGAGAAAACTGCACTGATGCTAATAATGAAACATTTTGTTGTGGTTTAACCCAGCAGGTGGCTCAGCACCACGCAGTCATTCGCTCACTCCCCCCTTCCCAGTGGGATGAAGGAGAAAATAAATAAAAAATCCAAACAAGTAGAACTCCTGGGTTGAGATAAAACTACTTACTTAGACAGAGAAAGGGAAAAGAAAACAGTTACAACTATATATATATATAATATATATACACATGTATGTATATAAGAAGTGATGCAGAAGCAATTGCTCACCACTCCCAACCAATGTCCAGCTAGTTTCCCAAGAAGCAGAAGATAGACATTCATAACATGGAGAATCTTTCAAAATCTACTTCAGCGTCCTGCCTGCACCTCCATTTTCTTGTTTCTCCACATTCTGAAGTCACAGATGTGTTTTATCTGGTATGCACAACATATCCTAAATACATACAAACACTTAATGATCTTAGCTGCAATGTAGATGATGCAGCCACAATTCCTTATTTCACTGAAACCTATTTTTCTGTTCAATGTGAAAAATTACTTTTGCAATGGCTGGTGCTTAAAATGAGTCTCCTTCCAGTAGCTCTTTAGGCTCTTACAGCTCAGTCTCAGCAGCTCCCAAAGAATGACATTACACCACTATTACCTTAAAAGCACTGCTATTTTGCGTCCTTTTTTGATCACAGGTAAGAGCAGTGTTTTTTGATCACCGGTAAGCAATGTAGAGCAATTGCTTAAGATTTCTTTGCTATGAATCAATCACTAGTCCCTGGAAGGAACATGATAGCAGAATATTATGGAGAAAGATGCTCCAAAAACCACTCAATTATAGTAAGAGAAGGAAGCAAAAGGCAACTAATGACACAAGCTGATCACTCAAAGGAAATATAGGGAAGATGTCAGTAACTTAGTACATAATAAAAATAGTAGTAACAATGAATATGAATATCTTTTGACATGAAAGAAGTATTTTTGGTATCTGCAGTTTCACCAATAGAAACAATCCCACTCATGTTGTACAACCAAGGTACGACCACTAGGCTATCAAAAATACATAACCTCTGTCATGATTTGAGCTTAAATTTACAACTTGATTCTGGCAATTGGATTTTGCCAATACACAAAAGGGAGAGGACCTGACCTAACATTCATACTTTGTAAGCATATTCAGTACAGCGAATTCTTCCTCAGGTACTGAACAAACTGATGCTGCTAAAGAATACGCAGCACATAATTACACACAAAGTATTCCTGACCTCTCTAAGCACTACCTCTGTCCCCCTTTTATTTAGAGTAATTTATGATCCTAACAATTTAAAATTAAAATCAATATAAAATTGATTATAACAATTTTGTTACAACCCCAGTCATCTTTCCAACAGAAGTGTTGACCACCAGGAGCAAACAACTTGATTATAAAAGGAGTGCACTTTACTTGGAAAGCTCAACATAGTTTGCTGCTCCAAATAAATTAGGCAAATTGTTTCCACTAACCTATAGTAAAAATCTAGCACACAGCCTGTGTAACTGCTTGTTATGCTAGAGAGAGTAACTCAGAGAGTTTCTGTCAACTCATTTCCTTGTTTGTTGGAAAGAATGACTAACAATGTCTTCAAACTAATCTCATCCATTCATCAATCCCCAGTTGTCTAACAGAAGCTCAACTGGTATGCTCAGCAGTGTGTTCTGACCTTACTGAATGTCTCAGAAGACCCTGCCCACTCAAACAGTGATTCTATCCCATTGCGAGGAGAGGCCTACTCACAGTGGAATAGATGAGATGAGACTTGGAAACAAGAAATTATCTGAAGCAGTGATGACTCCATTCATATTCAAGAGAAGTGTATTGTGTAAGAGTTTCTGATCTTTTATAAATTAATGCAATAGTTTCCAAACTTGGTTTATGCATCACAGAAGGGTGAGCAGCATAGCACAAAACTAAATGCAAACATTTCCAGTGATCACATTCACCACTTCTGCTGGATACAGTAACATTTACCACTGCTATGCTGCCAATAGAAGTACCTGGACAAAAATGTTGAGCTCCTTAACGAATATATTTGGTCTCTATGACATAACTGGTTGACTTTTTTGATAACAGGAGCACAGTGATACGGAATACAGAAATAATACCCTACTCCCATCATGTCAGTTTTGCCCTGGAAATGAAATATCATCACATCAGAGCTGCACTGTTATATATGCATTCCTATATTGGATGTGTTCATTGACTTATTTCAATATCCGTTAATATTAATCACAGAGTTTTGTTCTTTAAATACCTTCTAGATGAAAGTGCTCATCACCAATAGAGTCTCTGTAGCCTTCTCCAGACAAATCCTGTTAAAAAAAGAGAAGAAAAATTAATGACGAGTATACAATATACAAAGGTATTAAGAAGATACATGTATCATCACCAGGATTAATTAAAAACACTAAATGGAGCATTAATGTCAATTTCCAGAAAAGAAGTCAATGCATCTGGTGCTGTTTTAGAATGTTCTGGGCATATTCTAAGACAAAAATTGAATGGAGATAAATAGATTGTGCTCATATACAAGTCCTTTTACAGAATACTTTAATATTTAGCATTTCAGCATTCTGTCAATCAAGCAAGATAAAAAAAATCTCTGAATGGAAATGATAAAGGAGAAATAAGCCCTTCACTACCCAGAGGAATGTTATCACTTGGTTCCACCAAACAGAAAACTTTCATGTGCCAGAGGTCACCCAAGAAAAGCAGATACCAGAGTCTGAAGGGCTGCCTGATACTTCTGTCCTGAAATTAATGAAATTTTGTCAGCCCCAGTATGTCCAGTGGAACACAGAAGCAGCGGTCACGGATACTCAGATGATTTTATCTCAAACACAAAAGACAGTTCTCTAATGGTGCTGAAGTTGTAATAAAAGGGCATCAGTTGGATTTGGAGCTAATCCCACTTATAAAGATCCTGAAGAGCAATCTTACACTCCTATTAGCAGATCATTCCAGCTCCATCTCTCCACACCAGCTAAGCCATAAGCTATCACAGCTAGCCTTCTATTTTGCCTTCTTCCATTCATTCCAAATACTCCAAGCATTACCATAATGTCACTGATCTTACATTACAGTCCGTCTCCTTAGATTTTCTACAAACACTCTCTGCCACTGATAAATATTTATGGTGATGAAGAAGGATATGGCCTTGAAAAGTTCAAGTGCTGCACTCACAGCTATTTCAGCTTCACCTACAAAAACGTATCAGGAACACAGAGCCAGCATTCTCAGCATTAACCTGGGGACTGTGAATAGACACCAGGGAGCTTTTGGCACAAGGCGAGAATAAGAGAAAAAACTGTGAAAATGAATGCCTGGTTGTGTTCACAGCTTTGTGCTCAAGCAGCTTTATCACGACGAATGCAGTTCATCTCTTTTTCCCGAAGAAGCTGACAGAGATTCTTTTCTAACTTGCACACGCCTAAATGTTATTCTTCGAGATTAGTTATCCAAAAGTAACTCAGCCACAAAAGCATATCTTAGGAACTCTTCAGCGTTAGTTTCTGCAGAAGCATTTTAAAAATCAAATTCCATAAACAGTGAGATTTGATTAGGGGTTAGCTAGCCCAGAGACTCTGAAAATATTGCTCTCTTCACGAGCAGATACCCTGACATTTGGCCCAAAGATAAATCTGACAGCATTAGGAAACGCTGTCAGTCTGGTACAGCATGCTGGGATTTAGCATAGCATGACACTGCTATAAAAGCTGTCAGAAGCAAATCACAAAAGCTAGTTTGTTTATTTGAGTTTTTTTTCTAGAAGAAAAGGCCCCTTATGAACAAGTGCTAATTAATATCTATCACTGACTTAGGAACAATGGAAGAAATGGACATCGTGAACAAAAAAAGCCAGGAAATGTTGGCGTAGGACATCATGTTTCTGCAAGGAAGATGGTCTTCCAGCAACTTGCAGTAGTTAAGATACTTTTGTTTAGTAAAATTCCTCCATGTCATCATTTTCCAGGAAGCTCTCAGAGCACAGCCTGACTGCTCTCCCAGACAATGAGGTGCATACAAGTGACTGCAGGAGCACACATGGCCCTCCTGCTCTGTCCCACAGTGGCAAGTATTTAACAACTGCTTTTTTATTGAAGACAGAATTCCTGCTCCCTCCACATGGTTCTCTTGGGAAAATATTTCTGACTTTCTGACCAGCAACTATGCAGTGAGAAGGTATGACCTTAATAGTGATCCTTCTCTAAGGAGAAAGCTAATTGGTAGCCTTCCTCTCTTAACGTTTTAACAAAGCAAATGGTGCACGTGGTTATCAAATGTTGCCTGCCAAAATGTTGCCATTAATTCAACCTCTACAAAAATCACAAGTCATTAATTTTTATGATTTTTTCAAAAGATGCCACTTACAAATTAGCATGTATTTGTTGATGGAAAAGGTACCATTAAGTAACTCAGTGCAGATGAATGGAGATGAAGGAGAGAAGCAGTAAAGCATTAATATTCTACATGCAAGCTTCCTTAGTTTCTCACTGTTAATCATTACAATATGTTTCATATTCTACTCTAGTTTCACTCGTTCTCTAGCTCCTAGTTATTTAAGTTGAAGTAGTAACTTAATGCAAGCAAATTTCCAATAAAGTAGCTTTCCTTAAATCAAATAAAATAAATTCTAGTGTTTTGATGATGATGTGGAACCACAGCATTACTGTTAAACAGCACAGAAACAGACAACCCATCCCAAAATCAATGAGTGTAATATTTGAACGTTTTGGTGACTTATTTCATAGAAACATAGAATGGATTGAGTTGGAAGGGACCTCAAGGATCACCAAATTCCAACCCTTCTGTAACAGCTAGGGCTGTATTTAAGCCGAATTCCTCAACTCCCACTCATATGCGTTCTGTGAGAGTACGACTGTGATCTGTGCTGCCTTTAATAAGCAGGTGAGAAAGGTGTGGGCAACACTTAAGATTCTACAGGAGGGGAAAATTAAAAGAAAGAAAGAAACCTTATCACTCATCTTATTACCACTAACTCTTCTTTCGAAAACCCCAGGAGAATAACCAGGTTGTCTTTAGCACTACTGAGACACGTGTCACAAGCTGGATAAACACCAAAGTAAACCTGCTTGAGAAAAGGATTCTGGGTGGTTTATGCAAACCCACATTCAAAAATAAAGTACAAAAGCTAAGCTAGTATCAGAGAAAACAATTCTGACTGCAGTTGGTACAGTAGAAGAAGTATTCTCCCAGTAACCTGCAACAATTCCCTTAATGCGAATAAAACACTGCATCTACCACCAGCTAGTCTAATTCGGAAAGTGAAGGGGAACAGCAGGACAGGGTAAATGTGTAAAACAACTCACAGCTCAATAAATTCTAGTGGGAAGAGAACATTATATGTCCAGGAAGAAGCGTGTCTGAGCACAGGGGAAGGGCAGGAGTGGCAGGACAAAGCCAGCTGTGCTAGCCCTGCCTCCTGCAGCCTGCCCAAGGGCTCCCCACTAGCTGCAGAGCTGCAGCAGGAGCAGTGCTGGGGAGAGCAAGGCAACGGCATTCGGGTCATAGGTAGCTGTATGTCACTGTCCTGACACCATGTTTTAAATCACAACAGTGCATTTTCAAACTGGAGCACTGAGTCATGTAGCAACCAAAACCAGATGTACCCTGTGAAATACTATATAAGTGAGGTCAGCGAGAACTTGAAAGAAGAAAGAGAAGAAACATTTACGTAGGATTATTCCAGCATGCCACTTCTAGAGGCTGCTAAACAGGAACCCATTGAGAGTAAGCGTCTCTACCTCACCAGGAGCTTCCCTGTTAAAGAAGTTGGCCTCTGCTAGCTACCAACACAAATCACACAAAACGACTGGAATTCGGCTCTGACATCTGTTTCAAAGCTATGAACAGCCAGCTGCCCGGCCTGGATGAAAAGGTCCTCGTGTCCCACATGTCCTGTTCTGATCGGTGCTGCTGTGCGGGGCTCAGATTGAAGAGGGTGGGGGAAGGGTTAACTAGTGCAACTCCCTCAGAAATGCTGAGCAGTATATTTGTACCCACGGAATACAAACACTCATGGGAAGCTCCCACATCCCAGTGCTCCCACTCAGCTGGTTACAAGTCAGGCAGTTGTCACTCACATCCTACCTTTACTGAGCAATCAGACTCCAATGAATTCTGACTCACTGGGAATTTTATCTTTTTAATCCTAACCTCAGCCCTGACCACCCCACACAGTATTTTCATCAACATGTGTTTCTGGAGACTGAAGGCCAGAAATTCACTCTGGTGCTTCAACATTTGACATCCTTCTCCCGAGCTTCCTGAAAAGGCTGCCAGCCAAAGCCTCACCCATCGTTCTGCCCATAATACTGTATTCTTTCCATGCCTTTGCTCCCTTTCTGTTTCATGCTGAGGTCAGGTTCCCTGTCTCCACCTTCCAGGCTCTGCATGGCTGTACTTGCATTCGCATCTACCAGCCCCTGTGCCCACTGATTCCTTTAATCTTCATCACCACCTGACTCTTCCTGCTTGTCCTGGCTCTGTCTTTCCTTGCTGCTTTCTGCAATACCCAACACTGAGAATACAAGGGCCAAAGCTACAGAGTGAAAACAGAGCGAGTGTTTTAGCAAACACATTTGGACTAACACAGTGATTAACAGTTTTGCTTTTAGCGTAAGTAGGGAGAGCTTCATCCATAGATTTATCAGATATATTAAAGGCTAGCCCTTGATTTGGGTAGGTTATTGTGACAGCCAGCACATTTCTGAAATTTGTAACTCTCTACTCCCTGTATTACATCACAGTTAATACTGTGTTAATTCATATTTTTCAAAAAGCTGTTGCTTTTCTCCAGTATAAAAATGTTGCTCTACCTCTCCTTCTTCAAATATCTCACTGAAATCCTTTGATTTAGCCTAAGATAAGCAATTTTCAACATTTTTGGCAAGAAATATGCACACATTTCCTGTTTTAGTGAAATTCTTATCAAAGTGTCATATTCACCACTTTCCCCAAGTAAAACATGTATAAAGACAAGCTGTCCAGCCAGGAAATTTTACTCCCTACTTCTGCCTGTCTGAAGGAAACATGTATTGTGTCCTCTCTTTAATCTTTTACTGATGTAATAAAATCCTAGGACGTTTTGGGAGAGCAAAGTTGAAGAAAGATGTTTCACAACAGGGCTGCAAGGGATAAGATATGTGGTAACTCTTGCTGGAGTAGATTTTAGAGCAATTTTAAAGCAGCTGCCAATGAGAATGCTATGTCACCTAATATAAACTTCAGTTCCTGATGGAAAAATGATCCTGAGAAATAGAGGTCCAAGAGAACAAGAATGGCCTTTGGTCTTTCACGCAAACAACATAAAGGCAATTCACTGAGATTCTGCTTTCTGTAAAGGAAATGTAAAGCAGCTCATCCTTTGAGAAGTCAAGGAGACTTCAAAACAGACCAACATTAAAATACACACAACAACTGCAATAATGCTTTTTTTTAAGCAAAAGCAGTATGCTCAACTTCTGCAATGTTTTCTTCCTCTGAAATATGAACCTGGTGCTCTGTGATCCATTACAGCTGGGTTTTTCTTCCTCTACCAAGCATGGAAGCTTCTCTCAGATAAAATTTCTTCATTATATGATCACAGCAGGTACAGATGTTAAGAAAACAGATTTCTCCTTTAACATCTCTGATAAGTGATCTTGAGTGGGTTAAGCTGCCATGGTTTAGCATTTTACTGCCTCATCTGTCAATATGGCCTCTGTGCCTGAAGTCAATGTCTTCTTAGTAGAGACAGTAGAATACAATGGGTGTACCACAAAGCTATGGAAATTCCCCCATTAGAACCCTAGCACAAAGTTCACACTAAGAAGCCAGCCCCAAAACTGCAATGGTGAAGCACACAGATGCATTCAATTTGGCTGCTTCTGCTCTAGAAGCAGTAACTCCCAGCTGCAATAATACAGAGGTAATGTTTGAAATCAATATCCCTAAATCCACTGATTTGCCAGAATTGGAACCTCCCAGGCTCATCTCACAGATGGTGACCATAGAGCAATTCCAGTTTATGGCCCAGTAGCGTGAAGACAAAGACCAAAAGAACACCGAATCTCCAGTCACAAAGGACCATGGACTACTAGAGACTTCTTATGCAAGAAATACCCCTAAATATCTTTCAGATCCTGTTACAGACCCTCCAGCGGGTACAAGGAGTAGCTGCACCATACACTTTTAAGGATACCCCACATTTAGGAACACGAGGCTGGCAAGGAAGTGGAAGCAGTAGGATACTCACACAAAAGCCTTCAAGAAGGATGCCTGACTAAGAAGGTGAATGTGGTACTTTTTGCTCCAGGCTGTTTGCAACTTGCAGGGGAACCTCTTTTGCTCAGTCCAACACCTGGACAAGGCTTTTATCAGGATGAAACACAACTTTTTTCTGTTCTTTTGATATATGAAAATCAAGTAGCAGCAGTACTGAAACATGCTGTTTGCAGGTAGCTTTTTTGTCTCTGTTGCAGCAGGTAAATGGACATCCTCTTTTAGTGGTCAGTCACTTGATGTGCATGCAACACCACCAACCAGCACATTTAACTTGAACCATAAGATTCCTATGCTCTACGCAAGACAAGTGAGCAGTGAGTATGCATCCTGTGCAGTGGATGGAAAACAGAAGAAGCCACAGGAGAAACTTAAAAAGCAATAGCTTAAAATAATGTGGACTTGTTTAATGATGAAAAAAAAAAAAAAAAAAAAAAAGTGCCAACAGATAAAATTATCCAGTATTAAAACCTGTAGATATCCAGAAGATCCACCTAGGGGGCAGTCTGCTTTAGATGGTTCCAGTTTCATGTCAGAACGTGAATGTTTCCGTATGCTTTGACCTTGTATTTTGTGGATGTTTAGAAACTCTTGCTAGCTGTCAGATAGTGACATCTTCCATTAACATGATTACTGCAGTAATCTGCAGTTTTACTGCAGTTTTAGAACTATTATGGCTTCTTTTCAAGGTGATAGGGTGAGGCCTGGTTTTTCAAGAACTTCTGTCAGATTACAGATTACATAATAGAAAACAATTATAAAAATGATCTAAGGATTCAGCAGTTACTTTCCAACTGAAGGGTCCAGCCATTTCCAGCCAAAAAAGATCATGAGTCTTTGAGATGAAATGGACTGAAACAAGAAATGACTACTTTCTGCTATATTTAAATTCACTTTGAAGCTACTTCAGAAGGATAAATGAACTAAACTCTACAGATTCAGCTATTTACTTTGCTTTATTCTTCCAGCTATCCTCTGGCCTCTTTCCTGATTGCAAAATCAATTGTCCCATTTCCCCCAAGATCACTTCTTCAATATTGATTACACTGATGTACAAGTCTAAGGACATGAAGGACAAATCTTCACCTAACTTCAGCCTGGAGAACCACAGTAACTTCACCAAAAGGAGCTTCTTTCTCCTTTATGGCAGACAGATGGACGTGGCCACGTATCAAACCTGGTTTTCTGTTCAACTTTTTTTTTGCAAAAGATTTAGTTACCAAGAAACTCTTTAACAAATAGACTTCAGTGCATCGAGGTGATTTTACCCAGGCATATGCTGAGAAAAAAGTTTGCAGAACACAGCTGCAGAGTTTGACTGCAGAATAACTCACTAATTTAAGATGCAGTCACTGAAAACAAGGGTACTCTTTCCACTGACTACAATGATCATTACAAAACCAACACACAGCGTTTTGAGCTTTTCTTGTGATAATAGCCTGTGTCTTCCTATATGGCAGGTTTTCATAGCACAAGGGCTTAAAGCTCCCCTAGAATGACAATCAATGCTCCTCTATTATGTTTATGACTCTAAGTCCTTTCCTGCTAATGGATGACGTATATTTATGCAGCTGGAGGAAACCTGGTTTCAATAACTGCTCCACCACAGACTCACTGTGTGGTGTAGGGTAAGTCACTTAAATCTCCCTGTGCCTTCATTTTTCAACTGTAAAACGGAATTCTTGATGCCCACCTTTGCAGAGAGCTCGGAATCCTCCGGACGAAAACATACCCTGCTATTATTATATTATATTATTATATATTATATTACCTTGTTAGGAAGCACAGGTGTGTGACCCTGGACACATATGCTAATGTTGATCCATAAATCTGTCAACAGGAGGTGCTGGCAAAACAGATGGTTCACATTCCTTCTCAAACCACCTCTTTGTCCCCAAAACCCAGGTATGTCAACTAATCATTTTATAACAGGTCAGGGTTTTAACGGGCCAGGAAGCCACAGTGAAGCACAATGCCACAAGCATTATGGCTAAAAATGGAGCCAAAAAGAGCAAAAGAGAGACAACAGAGGTTTCTCCTCTCCTCTCTGCCACGTAGGACAAGCACTGAGAGGCTCTGCAGGAAAAGATAAAAGAGAAAGCAGAACCCATTCCCACACATTCCTGTAAGTAGCACAGCATCGGTATTCATGCCTGAATGCAGATTGATGCTGCGTACAAGGAAACAGACCCTTGTTTTTTAATTACAGGCAATAAAAAAAACAGACACACACCATGTGAAAACCTGAGTCAGATGAACATTCCATGTTGACTTACAGGGTCATGAGAATTACAAGCAAATAAAAAGTTTGCTTGTAAATATTTCTTACAAGTTACCTTTATTATTACGAATTTTGACTCCCCATCACACCAGTTGAAAATCGGGCAGGCTGCGTTTTCCTTGAAAACATTTCAGCAGCACCAAAGGCTGCAGCAGGGCTGCCGGTGTGGCTGGGAGCGCCAGGCAGGGCCCCCGGACAGACCAACGGCCGTGCAGGACCGTCTGCCACGCACATTCCCCTAAAAGGAATCCCAGGGCCAGAGCACCACATCAAAGCAGCAGAGCTGAGCAGATTTCCCCTTCCCTTCCCCCTGAGTCTTTGAGACGGAGACTTCATACTCCAGAATTTAATATCTTTTTCCTCCCTCCCCCCCACCAGCCCCTTTGTCTGCATCTCTGTTCTCTAAGAGCTAACAGATGTTGATGCCATATAGTTTCAAAGAAAACTTTTGATGCCCACATAACTCATTACAACTAATATATTCCAAGAATGTTTGTAGCTCAGGAAACACTGGGGTGAAAAAACAGAGAAGAGGGGGCAAATGGCTACACTGAATAACCCTTGAGAGAAAATAAATAGTTCACTTCAAAGTCATCGGGGAATTCTTTAACAAGCTCTTTCTTCCGCAAAACACAGAACAAATTCAGCCGAGCCTAGAATTCCCAAAGGAAAAAAAAATAAAGCCAAACCCCACATAAATGGCAAAGCAAAGGAAGCAGCGCAGAGGTCGCTCGGCTCACCAGCAACAAAGGACA